CCTCCTCTTCTTCTTCTTCTTCTTCTTCTTCTTCTTCTTCTTCTTCTGTTTTTGGAGAAAGAGATTCTCTCTGTCCTGGAACTTGCTCTGTAGACCAGGCTGGCCTCAAACTCACAGAGATCTGCCTGTCTCTGCCTACCAAGCACTAGGATTAAAGGCATGCACCACCACCACCCAGCTTAATAAATTGTTTCTTTAAAAATGAAGAATATTCCCTACTTGATAAAAAGTGCTGATTTCCATGTTTATTGACTACATTTATGTGTGTTTGTATGTATGTTATTTTTATATGTATATATAAAGTAACATTTATATGTTACTTTTTCTAAATGCCTTATTTGTAAGTGTATATAACATATATGTTAACTTTTTAAATGTCTTCTTTATAGCTATTCTTTCTGCATTCTGCATTCTGGAGATATCTTTCTCTTTTATATGAAGTACATATTATTTTTCTCAGTCCATTGTTTCTCTTTTTGTTTTGTTTATGGGAATATTTTCCTTGTTAATTCTTTTACTACATTGCATTCACAGAGAATATATGGATATTTAAGCTTCAACAGTGGTTTTAGCCATCTGATACACTCAAGTTTAACTTGCTTTTTACATAGTTATAAATTTAAAATTAGGCCTCTCACAGTCAGGGGCCCAGGAAAATGGTTCCCACCACATAATTCAAAACAAATCAGGGAGGTCACACATTCCTACCCTTCCATTTGTGCCCCCCCCACACTTCTCCTTAACCTCCATCACATGCCCCGGCAAGAGGACAAGGGGTGAAGAGGAGAGAATGAAGGACACATGGTGAGGTGTAAGACACTGAGCTAAGTACAGACAGTAAAAGAAGGGGAAAGGAGGTCAAGAGTGTGTGGTTAGAGACCCCGAGGGCTCCCAGAAGAACAGGTTCTGGGGTAGGGTTGCTAAGGAGCAAAATCACATAAAAAGTAAAACAAAAAACATTGGACAGGTGTTTAAAAAAAAGAGACAGAAGTTGAACAACAAGGATAAGGAGAAAGTGGTATTTCTATGCTCCACTCGGCCTCGTGGTACTAGAGACAGTTTTCTCCACTCCCAGAGTCCAAAAGAAATAAGGGAGGTTCATAAAAATAAGTCTGAGTTCATGTTCTAAGCCAATCAACAAAGCAAGCTCTGCACTTCCTGGACAAAAGGCTTTGGAAGGAACTCATTTCTGCTGAGTCCTTTGCCCCATGCTATGGAACTCCACACCAGGGCTCCGCTCTCACTACCGGGAGCTCTCTGTGAGTTGGATCTCCTTAGGTCTGTCCCATTCACAGGGTTTTCTTTTGCTGAACGCAAGGATCTGGGACAAGAAAGACTTGCTCAGGGAGGATGCTGCTGATGCCCCTCCTAAGTCTAATCCTCCAGACATCACACACTGCGTGGGTCAGGGCTAGCCTCCTCATCAGTGTGCCTAGGGCTCTGGGAGAAACCTCGGAGGCTGCATCTGTGGCCCCATGTTCTTGCCAGGACCAGTGATGGAATCTGTCTCAGTGACGAATAAGGGACCAGAGCATGTGACTATCAAACAGGTCAGTTTGTGAGCTACCTTCACACTGTTCCCTCATTCCTCAACCCTGTCATCTAAACGGAGGCAACAACTGTGGGCACCTAGAACATCTGCTTGCCAGCACGGGAAGTGAGAGGAAGACTCACAACAGCTTACCATACCTTCCTTGTCCTCCCCCACAATCCGAAGGACCTGGAAGAATGATTGCCCCAGTGCCTTTGCAGCCGATACTGCACACCAAAGCCCACTCTCGGGACCACAAAAGCTGACATCTTTTTCTGTGGCATTATCCTTGTGACTTTTATATCTCTCAACATGCTAGGTCTCATCACTGGGCGAGGAGGTGTAATTAATGTCATGCCTTCATCATTGTAATGCCTCTGTGCCATAGCGACTGCACACAAGACAGGTGATACTTGCTTTAAACTCACCGTGCACCAAGATGAGGGCAGCCTTCCTTGAGTACCCGACTATTCTCATTCTCAATTTCCCCTGGTCATCCATCTTTCCGGAATAATCTTGGCCAGGCATCGCAAACTGTTGGGCATGGGAAGGTTCATACACAATGTAATGCAGCCCTACTTTCTTCTTTTTGTTACCATCATTTTACAAGCTGATCCTATCTCTTGTCAATAGCGAAGAAACACTCTGGACTTGTGGCTAGGGACATACAGCCGCAGCCTCATTCCAGGGCCAGCCTGTGGAGTGATGCCCTATACTGGGCCACACACTTTGCATTCCTGCATCGCTGCAAGGCAGGCAGTTCTGCAACTTGCATTTTGCTCATTCCAGGCACATAGAGCAGAGTCACCACTGTTCCAGAGAATTTCTGAAAGACGTTACTTTTGTGGCCACTCTCAAAGGTGAGAACCGGCTGCCCCAGCACCCAATTGCGAACCACGGCCTTCATGTCGCTGGACAGCCAGGTGTCAAGATGGTTAAAGGGGAAAATGTTGACATTGGTATGGTCCTCACACCATACTTCAGTGGAAATACGCCAAGATGCTTGCTCCGCAAGCTTCAGAGGGTTCTGTTAAGCTCCAGTTTCCCTGCTTGTCCACACCATGCTAACAAAGCTCTGCCTTCTTTCCTTCCGAGTGGGCAAGAACTCAGTGCTCATCATTGATAGAATAATGGCCAGAGTCCGCCATGATGTCATCTGTGGCCTGGAATATTATGTGTAGTGGATATGACAGATTGTTCCGTCTGTTCTCGTGCACGTAAGAAAGACACGTACACTTTAATTGATAGATCTGTCATATGACAGATATCAAGTCATTCAGCTCATTTATGTCTTTGTTTTTCTGTATGACCTGCTAAGAGCAGTAATCAGAAATTCCCCAATAGCATTGTGGATTTTAAGTACCTTCTATAGTATTTGATACCAGGTACAAAAATCTGTGCCTGGTGAGTTAAACGATATCTATATGAAATGATTCTCTATATCCTTGATAATGATTTTCATTATTGTCTATTTTACTAAGAAAAAAATAGAGAAATTCCAGCTTTCTTTGTTCTGAGACATGTGTGTGTGTGTGTATATATATATATATATATATATGTATATATATATGTATATATATGTGTGTGTGTGTCTGTATATGTTTAATTAATTCAAATTATGTGTGATATATAACTCATATATTTATATATGATTATATGACCTATACGGCTTAATATTGATATGTACATAAATTATGAAACAATTATTATGCCTGTCACACACATACACACACACACACACACACTCTCTCTTTCTTAGTGACTTTCAGTACAGAGTGTATTAGCAACTATAGTAAGGCATAAAGAGCCAGGAGCTTAGTGCAGTCAGTCTCTAACAGGTTCGTCCCTTTGGTCTAAGGACACGTAGAGGTAAGAACTCTCTAGTGGCGGCTCTGCTTCTCTGATCTTCAGCATCAAGCCCTAACCCTGACTCTGAGGTTTGATTATGAAGATCAGCTGGAATCTGTGCCCCAGCAGTTACTTGTCCATTTTCTGCCACACCCACGGTTTGATTTTCCCTGTTGCCAGGATGGCCTGCAAGGGTCCTCCTCCCAGGATTGACCTGTTCGGCTCTGGGCTGCATTGCATAAGTGGACCCGAGTAGATCGTATCACATGGTGAATAGACATCCTGTCCCTGAACCCCATGACTTAAAATGAGGACGAAAATTTTATTGATAATCAACATTAAACAACACTATAACAATGAAATCAACAACAGCAACAAAGAGTTAAACAAAATGGACAGGGACATTTTCCCTATATAGGGAAGCAGAGTTTCTGCATGCAGGTGGAACTCCGTAGGTGATTTGGTTCTCTACACATCATCATCAGGCAGTGGGACAACAGGCACAACTGCAGGGATGTGCTCAGCAGTTTGGATAGGGATGATCACATGCACGGAATCGGCTGATGTGCGTTTAAGCTGCTCCGGTGCATCCTCGGGCAGAGTTGGTCCCCCTGTTGCCGAATCCGCGCTCTCAGTGTCCTCTTTGGGTGTCAGGTCTCCCGGTGGCCCTGCCACAGAAGGTGGTGAAGGATGCAGCTTCTTCTCCTGCATCTCTGTGGCATCCGGTATCGGGGCTAATGATGTTGTTGCCCTGCGGAACCCACGATCTAAGGAAAGAAAGACATGGACCATTAGTGGAGTGAAGCTAGAAGCTTCCAGGATGGGTGGCCTTCCCAGAGGTGGCCTTTCAGGTCACACCAGGCCTGATCATGCCAGAGAATCCCCACTCCCCTCTCCCCACAAGACATATATCTGATGGTGTCCTGTAGTTACTTTTGGTCTTTTTGGTTTTTATTTTATTTATTTTATTTACTCTTTGACAGCCCACCACTAAACTCCCAAATAAATACACGGAGATGTTTTACTTCTTATGTAAAACTTAGGATGGCCTAAGTGTAGCTTTTGTCCATTCGGCTTTCCTAACTTAAATTATCCTGTTTAAATGTTTTGCCTCTGGGCATTTTACCTTTATTTATTCAATATATTCCTCTTTTTATTACTTCATGGATGGCTGTGTGGCTGTGTGGTTGTGTGGCTGTGTGAATGTGTGGTTGTGTGACTGTGTGGTTGTGTGGCTCTGTGGCTGTGTGGTTGTGTGACTGTGTGGCTGTGCGGTTCTGTGACTGTGTGGCTGTGTGACTGTGTGGCTGTGTGGCTGTGTGATTGTGTGGCCGTGTGACTGTGTGGCTGTGTGGTTGTGAGGCCCTGTGGCCGTGTGGTTGTGTGACTGTGTGGTTGTGTGAATGTGTGGTTGTGTGGCTGTGTAGTTGTGTGGCTGTGTGGCTGTGTGACTGTGTAGTTGTGTGACTGTGTGACTGTGTGGTTGGCTCCTGGCATCCTCTTCTCCTTCTCCTTTTCATTTTCTCGCTCCTTGCTCTCTTCCCTAGTTTTCTTCTCTTATCTACTCTCTCTTCCCGCCAGCCCCACCAATTTCTCTCTGCTGACCATTCAGCTCCATATTAGATCAATCAGGTGTTTCAGGCAGGCAAGGTAACAAGGCTGTATGAGTTAAACAGATGCAACGTAAAAGAAAAAAAGACATCTTTGCATCATTCATCATAAATTCCACAGCATAAACGAATGTAACACATCTTAAACTAATATTCCACAACAGTGTTCAACTCTACTTCCGGGTCAAGGCTTCTGCAGAATTTCCTAGTGGAACCCAACAAGGAAACTTCCTCCAACCTTCCGAGGTACCTACCTCTGGCCTCCTCATCTTCCTCAGGCGTTTCCGCGGACTTCTGCACCCCCAGCTGTGACACGAGCGTCTGGACACGCAGTCGGTGGAATACTTGAGGAAAGTACTGGTACAGGTAGTCCAGAAGTCTCTTCAGGATCATCCGATCCAGAGCCGTGCTAAAATCCTCTGGCATTTTCTGCATCCAGTGTATCAGAAAGTATAGAATGTTTCTGCAGGAAAGAGTGGGTTAGCAGGAAGTAGAGTCAGAAGCCCGGCTGGCCTCCCTTCAGCACAGCAGCGGTTCCTCGGATGAGGAAAAGGCTCCTCAGCCCACGTGTTTCTGGGTCTCATGTCAGGAGTGAGGACTCTTTGGAGAGGCCCCAGACACTTTCTGTGCCTTGGAGGACAGGATGGGCTAACTGGACTGTGCTGTGGCGGGGATGGATTCCCCTAGGGCCCTTGAGCTTTGTCCTTCCTTCTGCTCCTCAGAACCAAGGCTATCACTGGAGATCTCGGTATTTCTCAACCTGCACGGAAAGTCTCTGGTATCATCCTCTACGGGGATCCCAAGACGAAGGTTACCTGTAATGGCTTAGTCCTCAAGCCTAGCCACCCCAGACCTCCCACTCTACAGCTGGGCTCTTACCTCCCTTGTCACCCGAAGCCCACTCACCTCTTTATAATGTAGTGCTCCAGAAAGTCATCATGGAGAGATCCACACCTGTGGCATTTTATGAGGGTGTCACCGCTAAAGTCCTATGTCCCCAACCCACCCAGAGATCTAGAGGGAGCTCTCAAAGCCGGTATAGGAATAGAAGCTAGGGAGTGGGTTGGAGTGCAGGGAGCTCTTTGTACTCTTCTGACTTCCATGCTGAGGGCCTGAGAATGAGCCTCTGATCACAGATCCTTAAGGTCATGAACTCAACGGGTGGAACCCAAGCTGCCCCTTTTCAGGGTTCTTGGGTTTACAGGGTTTCCTTGGGCCCTTGCAGGGATCCTTTCTGGCTCCATTTTTCCGAAACGAAGGTTCCCGGTAATGGCTTAGTCCTCAAGCCTAGCCACCCCAGACCTCCCACTCTACAGCTGGGCTCTTACCTCCCTTGTCACCCGAAGCCCACTCACCTCTTTCTAATGTAGTGTCTCGGAAAGCCAGCATGGGGACATCCATACCTGTGGCATTTTATGAGGGTGTCACCGCTA